TATATATACAGTATACACAAAATGGTTTATGGTTTATTCCTCTAATAAATGTGAATGTTGCATAATGTATATTTGTCGTGTTTTCTCGTTATTAATTTGCTTGAAAACCATATGCCTAATTGTTATTTGGTAATTGTTCTGTTGCTTGCCCACTAAACTGCTCTCTGTATACAAATTGGTGAATGTTTACATTCTTCCAGTAAATATTTAATAGTGATTAAATCAAAAACTTAACATTAACATTGACATCTATTACTTCGTCAGACAACTGGCACGTTGGATTGGGCACGAATGGATGTCGGTATACTTTGATGAACTCATACTACGTGTGCATGTTTCTAGAGTGCGTTTTTTTTGGTGGGGATAAATTCTATTTTTAATATACGTCAAAGTGCTTAATCAAGAGTACATATTACAACGTGATTTGATGTTTTTGTATCATCGAGAAACTTAAACAGCCGATATTACAAGATATTATTAATATTAACGTACACTAACTCGGATAGGCCTACTGTATTTACAACATGGTATCATATAAGAACTACAATAAGGTCTCTTTTGAGGGAGGTTTTTACTCGAAAAAGCATCCCTTCAATCTACCAAAAAAAAAGTAAAATAAACAATAAAAATTGGTCGTTTACAGTGCATGTTCTGTGTATGTCCATGGCGGCGTCAAAGATTTCCCGATAAGGGGTCAAAGGTCCCCGACAGACAGGTCGTCTACACCCATTGCAGGCCCTCATCATATGTTTGAAGCAAAGATAACTAATTTTCCTCTCTGGATGCCTGGACGTGGCACACTGACAATCTTAATTTTCTTCTTCCCCTTGACGGGGATTTATTGTTCTCTGAAAGCGGCCCTGTGCCGTCACCCCCCGTAACATAGTAATAAGATATACAGCGACAATTCAGACTCCCAGCCTTCTCAAGTCCCCCTAAATAAAATTTAAAAATGGAGAGAAAAATAAAATTGTTTTTTCTGAGAGTGCCATTTATCCGGCCATTTAGAGATGCCATATAATCATGAATATTCGTAGCTCAGCCCCAACCATGCTGGGACTGAGGTTGGTAGGACCTTGTATCCCTTATTGAGCTTTCTCTACTACAAATTCCAGGATCCGCCACTGATACAAAAATAGATTAACAAGACGAAGTAATAATCGGGATACAGGTGAAAACTTTAAAAATACAAAATATGCCAAAGCCAAAATAGCGAAATTTTAATACAATATATTGATTTGATTAGGCCTATTTTCTATACTTGAATACGTTATAGCTTTAAAACATAATTATGTAATTCATCACTGTTGAACTATTGAGTTGAAAACGTGTGTATATCACATTATATATATATATATATATATGTGTGTGTGTGTATTTTGTTTTGAGCACAATGGACAAGCAGTGGCGTATCAGGAGTCTTGAAATGTGCGTAAGGGCTGGGGTCGCGAAGATGAACTGTGGGGATTGGAGAGGGGTAGATGAATAAGTGAATGGGCGCTAGCTCGCAAAAATAAGGTGACATAATGAGGGTTTTAACTAACTGAGGTTAATTTATTTCTTTTGAAAATTTTCAGCGTGTGTGTGTGGAGGGGTGGGGGAAAGCTTTCGTACACCCCTAGATACGCCACTGAGGATAACAAGTAAAACAATCATCAATGTACGGTTGATCCATCCAGGGCCCTTTGTAGAGAAAATCTCACTGTCCGTTTTACCAGCCCGCTATTAATACATTTCAATTACACAAACACATATCATATGCATATACAGTAATATATCGGCCTATATTTGCATTTGAATGTCCACAGGTAGACCTACATGAAACCCGTATTCTAAAGACCTCGAGATTTTACTTAATTAAAGTTTGACATAAATAAAGGTGTTTAAGTTTAATTTGTTTGTAGTATGGGGTATGATGTTACACCCAAATATGTGCATATTAATAATATTGTAACATAACATTTGATATTTGACAGAACTTTACGAAATAGACATTTGTTGAACAATAGCTATAACTACTCAGCTGTACTCGTGAGACTAAAAGTATTTCGGTGTTCTGGTCACTCTTCTGTCACCATAACACCAACAATAATGACCACAAAGTACAAATTTCAAAATTACCAATTTATCAACTTATATCAGAAAGATGTATATAGTCGTCGTCATAATAATATTGAAATTCGACACTATTTCTACCCCTCCTGTTATACTTCTACACTTTTGGAGTCCTTAGGAGTCTTTGGGAGTTCGGCTTTACCCACCAGAACCAGAGCCTGTTTAACAAGCGCCGCTCTTGAATAAACGCCGCACTGAAGCATCCAAAATGTTATAAGCGCCGCGGCGCTTTTTTGAGGATTTACGGTAGTATAGTAAATACATGCAACTAAAAAGTCACGCAAACCAAGCGATTAAAAAAATCCCCATACCAAGATTAAATACCAGGAATAAATTCAATATTCGTTTGTCGCGTTGCTTCTGGTAGATTTTCTCGCGCGTTACTTGTTCCCGTTGTTTCTGCATCTCATCTGTTAGGTGGTTGTCTTCGTTTGATGAAAATCCACAGAACCAGTCGTAGAATTTGCGCCACCGGCTAGACTTGACAAATTCTACATTACCTGGAATTAAGTTTAATTCATTTCATTTCATTGTAATCATCGTTAAAGAAAAACAACTTTGGTATTATAACATACGGTCGAAATAATTATGTAGGACTAATTAAATTAAACAAATCAATGTATGCATAATTGAAATGAAAAAGGAGAAAGCAAAAATGAAACACAAATGCCTTAACTCACGCTCTCCCAGAAAAATATTAAAGAAAAATATAAATAAGCAAATAAATTAATAAAAATAGGCTAATACATGAAATAGTTGCATATTAATTAAAATTTACTGTAGAAATAAATAATAACATTATTGTTCCTTAATTATTGTTGTACAATTATTATTGTTGCCATGATGTATATCTCTCAATTTTATGGCACAATGTGTTCATTCCATTTTTTAAATATTTAAGATAATTATTATTAAAAAAAAGAAGAGGGGGAAATGCGTTATTCTAATTTTTATATTTACACATGTTTGTTTGTTTGGATAGAGAGGCTATAAACCCAAGGAAGGATAATTGCTCCCTTTTCACCAAAGACAAGTGAGTTATGGAATGAGCATAGAAAAATGAGCAGCTGGAAACAAAAATTAGAATGACAGCATGAAGTAAAAATATTAAATGAGACACCGTAAGGTTAGGGCCCAAGAAACATGAATTGTTCACGGACGGAAACACGGCATAGGCCTAGTGGTGGCTCCAGA